TGCCACCCTCAAGGGCCTGCATACCTTGGACAGCTGGGCGAGCGATGTACACTTCCCAGTCCTTTTGAAGGGCCAGGCGGATACGAGCGCCATTGACATCACCGCGCTGTCGCTGCCGCGAGAAGAAAGAAGAAGCTCCCCAAACAAGAGAGATGAACTGCGAAGGGCTCAGGTCCGGAGGAGAGGATCTCCTTCTTGAGAGCCGCAATATCGCTCTCGTCGATCAGAGGGTGGTCAACAGCGGGGATGGGGTCCTGCCACAGGAGGTCTTCGGCAGGGATTTCGGGGCCGAGGTAGCGAGCCTTGGGGCCAAGGTCACGGTGAAGGAGCTTGAACCAGGCGCGAGCGAAAGCATCGGCAAAACTGGTCTGGGTTCTCGAGGAAACGGCGAGAGATCTTCTCGTACTCGGGATCGAAGCGCATGGACAGATCGGTAGTGAGCATGGTAGGGCGGTGCTTCTTGGACGAGTCGTAGGCATCGGGAATGATCTCGTCATCCGTCTTGGCCACCCACTGGTTGGCGCCAGCAGGGCTCTTGGTGAGCTCCCACTCGTACTTAAAGAGGTACTCGAAGTACTTGTTGCTCCACTTGGTCGGGGTCGCAGTCCAGGTGACCTCGAGACCGCTGGTGATGGTGTCGGGACCCTTGCCAGACTTGTATCCGTTCTGCCAGCCGAAACCCTGAGCCTCAAGAGAGGCACCTTCGGGCTCGGCACCAATCTTGTCGTTGGGGCCGGCGCCGTGGGTCTTGCCGAAGGAGTGACCACCAGCAATGAGAGCGACGGTCTCCTCGTCGTTCATGGCCATGCGGCCGAAGGTGGTGCGGATGTCGTGGGCAGCCGCAACAGGGTCGGGGTTACCATCGGGGCCCTCGGGGTTGACGTAGATCAGACCCATGTGGGCAGCACCGAGAGGCTTCTGCAAGTCACGGGTGTGGGTGCCCTTATCATGGCCCTCGTCGGTGACGAGGCTGCCCGGACCCTTGTCGCCCTTGTTGCCGCCAGAGTAGCGGACGTCGTTGCCAAGCCAAGTGGTCTCGCCACCCCAGTAGACCGACTCGTCGGCCTCCCAGACGTCGGCACGGCCACCAGCGAAGCCAAATGTCTTGAAGTCCATCGACTCGAGGGCGACATTGCCGGTGAGAAGCAGCAGATCAGCCCAGGAGATCTTGTTGCCGTACTTCTGCTTGATGGGCCACAACAGGCGACGAGCCTTGTCGAGCGAGACGTTGTCGGGCCAGCTGTTGAGGGGAGCAAAACGCTGCTGGCCCTGGCCACCACCACCGCGGCCGTCGAAGACGCGGTAGGTACCGGCGCTGTGCCATGCCATGCGAACGAAGAGACCTCCGTAGTGACCAAAGTCGGCGGGCCACCAGTCCTGAGAGTCGGTCATGAGGTCCTTGAGGTCCTTCTTGACGGCATTGTAGTCGAGGCTGTTGAAGGCAGCAGCATAGTCAAAATCGCTGCCGAGGGGGTTCGTGACATCTGTGTGCTGACGGAGAATGTTGAGCTTCAGAGCATTGGGCCACCAGTCACGGTTGCGGGTGCCGCCGCCGCCGACATTGTTGAGTTTGTGGACGGGGCACTTGCTCTCCGACTCGGCCATGTTGGGTGAGTCGGTGTGGTTGTGTCTGCGGTTTATAAAGTGTGATTGGAGGGGTACTCGATGATACCTGGTCGACGTGGCAGGACGAGGTATTGTGAGAAATCTGGAGGAGGAGGAGGAAACACGCAGGGCAGGAAGGAGAGGAGGGGTACGGAGAAGGGGCATGAAGAAGTTCTGTCAAGGGGGGGGGGCCAAATGGCGGAAGCAGGGTCCTTTATGAGGGCAGCACGTCAGGCAAGGGAGAAGGAGGGAGGAGAGAGGGGGGGG